AACAGTGGAGGGACAATGCAGGAGAGGAAGACCCTCAATGAGATGGATAGATTCTGTGACAGATGTAATGGGGATAAGTGTGTTGGAGACAGTAACGTTGGCAAGAGAGATAGAGCAGGGTTTAAGACTGTTGTACATAGGGTCCCTGTGAGTCACAAGCAACTCAACGGCACATAACAACCACCACCATTCAAAAGTAATTTATTGTAACATTTGACAGATGTCCTTGATATTTTAACTCTTGTGATTGAACCTATTTGTTTTCGCTTAAAAGTATTAGTACTCTTTTATTTTTAACAAGTTCAAAATAAAAGGTGTCCATTAATTGCAAGAAAATATGATTTTGAAAATTTCCTAATTAGTCTAATCTGATCTAATTTGAATATAGGGTTTTTAAATTTTAAGTCTTTGAGATAATTTCTAAACTTAAGATTTTTTTTACATAAAATTATGTCATAATATTTCTTGTTGATTTGCAGTAAAAGAGTTATTGTGAGTAGATAGTAGATTTAAACTTGTTGTTTACTGTCATGTCACAACTAACTTGACACTCTCCAGTAGATTTTCAGTGGTTGCAAAACACATGAGAGGAGATTGGCCGTCTTTCTCCTGCAGTCCTCATTAAAACAATATTGAGCATTCATGATAGTAAGGTGTACTATGGTCTGTAATAAATTATGGCTCACATTGAGAAGAATGGCAATCTCAGAACACTTTATTGTGCTCATATGGAATCTATACCTAGATCAAGAAGCTGTTGTGCAAAGAGAGCAAGGGAACACTGCGTGGTTTAACATCAGAAAAGATGTGTTTCAGAGTTATGTCCTTTCTCCATACCTATTCAGTCTGTATGTTGAACAAATAATTCATGAAGCTGCCCTCTATGAAGAGGAGTGTGACAGCAGGATTGGAAGAAGACTCATAAACAACCTGTATTATGCTGATGACACACTTTGCTTGCTGAAAGTGAGAAGGATATGAAATGCTTGCTGCAAAATATCAAGCACTAAAAACTCTTTGTTATGGATTATAACTTAACATCAAGAAGACAAATATCCTCACCACAGACCCAATAGTCAACATTATAATAGATGGAGAAAAGATTGAAGCTGTGAATGATTTCATCTTGTTTGATTCAACAATCAACACCTTTGTAGCAGTACTTAGGAAATCAGGAGATATACTGCATTGGGCAGTTCTGCTGTCAGGGACCTTACCAGCATGCTGAAGGGCAGTGATGTCATTTTGGAGACTAAAATGTGCCTGATTGAGACCAAAGTCTTCTCAGTCATCTGTTACATCGGAGATGGACAATGAATAAGGATAACAGAACTGATGCCTTTGAGTTATAATGTTAGAGAAGACATGGACTGGCAAAAGAACAGTCAGATTTGTTCTGGAAAGTGTGCAGCGAGTGATCCTTGGACTCAAGGATTACAAAGCTTCCCTTTCATAGTTTACACATGTAGCTGTGTGATGCTGTTCCTTGGAAAGGAGCGTCGTGCTTGGAAAGATGGAGGGTCAGCAAAGGATAGCAAGACCTCTAGCAAGATTGACTGGCATAGTGACTTCAGCAATGAGCTCTAGTGACTCAGATAATGCAGATGGTACAGGACAGGGCAAGTTTCATGTGAGTCAGATGCGATTTGACAGCACTCAACAACAATAAAATATCCATTAAAAAATTTCTGCTATATGAAAAAAAATCTGTGTGAATATGAGATATCTGTCTATCTATATAAAAATAGCCCAAGGGATTTGTGGAGTAGTGATGTCAGTTTGAGGACTAAGGTGCCTCTGAGTCAAGTCATGGTCTTTTTATCACTTGCTGTGCATCTTGAGAGCTTGTTTGGAGGTTCTAGCAGGGGAGCGCAGCTACTCATATACCCTTGACCGAAGGACGGTCTTCCTTCTATCGGGGATGGTCATCCTCTTCAACTGAGTGTGCATCTTCGGGAGGGATGCACATGGATCGGTGAGGGAGGAAGGAGACACCCACCTAGCCAGCCAGATCACTCAAATCAATCCTGGCGATCAATGGGGTGACAGATGTCACAGCCAGATCACCCTCACATCCACTTGCTGTGCATCTGAGGAAAATCTGCTGTCAGGCAACTCTTCAGAGGACTGAAGAACAAAGATATCAGCCTAGAGACTAAGGTGCACCTGATCCAGGCCATGGTTTTCACAGTTTCTTGCTATGTATCAAAGAGCTGGACAATGACCAAGAATGACAAAAGAATTTATGCCTTTTGAGTTGTGGTTCCAGAGATTATTGAATATACCATGGGATGCCAAGGGAATTAACAAGTCTATTCCAGAGAAGGTGAAACCATGCTGCTCCTCAAAGGCAGGGATCTCGAAACTCTGTCTCATATACTTTGGGCATGTAGCCAGGAGGGACCAATTTTTGGAGAAGGACATCATGCTTGGAAGCGTCAAGGGTTAGCACAGGAGAGGAAGACCCTGGATGAGATTGATTGACATAATAACTGGGATAATGAGGTTAGGTGTGTCTTAGTGAGATTAACTCATGATAGGGCAGAGTTCAGAGTTATTGTGGAAAGGGTTGCTATGAGTCATAGTTGACTTGATGACCCATAAGTACAGCAACAAAAACATGCATCTGAGAGTTGGACAATGAATAGAGAGGAGAGAAGAGAATGTGATGCCTTTGAGCTGTGGTGTTGGAGAAGATTACTGAATACCCAGGGGACTCCCAAAAGGACAAACAAATATGTCTTGGAGAAGGGGAGCCAGAGTGCTCCTTGGAGGCAAAGATGGTGGAGCTGCGTTTCACATACTTCACGCATGTTGCTAGGAGGGACTGTTCGTTGGAGAGAGACATCAGACATGTCATACTTGGAAAGGTGGAGGATCTACAAAAGAGAGGAAGAGCTTGAACCGGATTAACATGGTGACTGCTGCAGAGGGCTCGAGTGTGTCAGATGTGAGGACGCACAGGGTAGGGCAGGGTCTGTTGTTCGTAAGGTAGCTGTGGCTCATGCTCAGTTCATTGACACTTAACACCCACAAAGGAAATTTGATGAGAATACATGATGCATATTTTCCCTCTCAAGCTTTTAAAGTCAGGGCGGGGGTTTGCTTGTTTGTTTGTTTTTTTAACTATAAAAAAACAAATATCCCAGATTTGGGTTTGTGTTAACTGAAGATTAGATTTGGGTTATTTAACACCAACTTAGAGAAAAGATTCAGTAAAAATCCTCAGTAGCTGGAGAAGCAAAACATTTCAACATTATAGATTCATTGGACAAAACCAGGAATTTGAAGGATACTGAAAAAGACTTACTAGTATTAAAGCATAAAACTTATGTATTCACTAAAATATTAATTGATTGTTTCATGCAGCATCCCTCCACATGAGTCTATGAAAGCTTTCTGGTTCCACAACTGCAATTTATTAACTTATTTTGTGTTTTGCTTTGGAAGGTGAATGGTACTACTGTTGTTAGTATTGTGTCTTTCTATAGTGTTTAACATTCTAATTTTAAATTGACATAATTCTAGAGGACAGCCAGCTGGCTGACTGACTGGAAAAGATAGATATTTGTTCCCATTCCAAAGAAAGGTGACCTAACGGAGTGTGGAAATTATCGAACAATATCATTAATATCACATGCAAGCAAGATTCTGATGAACTTATCCAAAAATGTTTGGAACAGTATGTCAACAGAACTGCCAGATGTGCAGGCTGGTTTTAGAAGAGGTTGTGGTACTAGGGACATTATAGCTAATGTTAGATGGATCTTGGCAGAAAGCAAAGAATACCAGGAAAGTGTCTATCTGTGCTTCATTGACTATGCAGAGGCTTTTGACTGTGTGGATCACAACAAGCTGTGGCTGACTCTGAGAAGAATGGGGATCCCAGAGCGAAACCTATACTTGGACCAATAGGCAGTTGTCAGAATAGAGCAAGGAGACACTACATGTTCAAAATCAAGAAGGGGGTTCGTCAAGGATGTCTTTTGTCTCCATACCTTTTCAATCAGTATGCAGAACAGATCATCTGAGATGCTGGGCTGTACGAGGAGGAATGTGGCCATCAGGATTGGTGGAAAAAGTCATCAACAACCTGCAACCCTGCTTGCTGAAACTGAGGAGGACCTGAAGCATTTGCTGCAGAAGGTCAAGGACTGCAGCCTCCTATATGGATTGAAGCTCAACATCAAGATTCTCACCACTGGGCCAACGGGCAGCATCAGTATGGATGGTGAAGAGATTGAGATAGTTAACAGTTTTCATTTACTTGGCTCCACAGCCAACACTCTTGGTAACAGCAGCCAGGAAATCAAGAGGCTAATTTCATTGGAAAAGTCAGCTCTGAGGGACCTCTCAAGAGTACTGAAGAGCAACGATGTCAGGCTGGAGACGAAGGTGCCGCCTGATCTGGGCTATAGTCTTCGCAATTACATGCTATGCATCAGAGTTGGACAGTGACTAGGGAGGATAGAAAGATAATTGATGCCTTTGAGCTGTGATACTGGAGAAGAGTATTGAATTTACTGTGGACTGCTAGGAGAACAAACAGGTTTGTCCTGGAGAAGGTGAAGCTGGAATGCTCCTTGGAGTCAAGGATTCTGAAGGTTTGTTTGACATACTTTGGGCATGTTGCAAGGAGGGACTGGTCCTTGGAGAGGAACAACATGTTTGGCAGAGTGGAAGGAAGGCGCAGGAGAGGAAGACCTTCGATGACATGGATCGATTCTGTGACTGGATTAGTGGGAATAAATGCATTTGGGATGGCTAGGTTGGCACAGGATAGAACGGCATTTAGAGCTTTTCTACATAGGGTCGCTATGAGTCGCAAGTGACTCGATGGCACATAACAACAACAACAATTCTAATATTTTCAGTAACTTGTTATACTGCCACATTAATTTTAAACCACCAACTCAAAGTGAAGAAGAAATTAAAATGAGTATGTCTCTGTTTTTAATTAGTCATCTTTTCATTATTAACAATTTTTCCCTTTTTTGCAGAAATACCTGCCTGTTGACATTCTACAATCTGGCATCCATCCCGTATATTTCTGCAGTACTCACTATATTGAAATGTTGCTGAAGACTGAGGTGCCCCTTGTCTTTTCAGCTTTCCACATGTCAGGTTTTGCACCATCACAGGTAATCAGTAATGGGAGTAAAGTTTCTTCAGGTCTAAGATCTGCGTGTACTTTGTATATATTTAAATATCCAAATTGCAAAAAAAAAAAAAAAATATCCAAATTGCCTTTTTCTCCTCTTCAGGACTGTATTAAAACTTAGTATATCCTTGACATTAAGAGATTTCTAGCTTAGTTTCCACCCTTTAACGTCGTGTTGTTACGTGCTGTAGAGTTAAACAGAGCCAGGCCTCCAGCAGGTTTTCAGAAGCTGTAAATTGCACAGGATGAGACTGCACATGTTTTTTTTTTTCTTTTGGTGTCCATTTATTTTTATTTCATTTCAAAGATCATCACCACTTACTGATTTCTTTTTATTAATATGGAACATTTCACGGATTGACTGCACATGTTTTGTCCTGCAGAGCAAGTAGTGGATTCAAACTGCTTGTCTTTGGATTGGCAACTCCTTAACCACAAGAACTCCCTTTCAAGGGCATTAAAAAACAAAAATTATAAAAAGCCCTTTTAGTCAAAGTTATTCTGACTCATAACAACCCTATAAAACAGAATAGACTTGCTGTAGGATTTCCAAGACTCTAAATCTTTAGAAAAGCAGACTGCCATATCCTTTTCCCTTTGAGTGGCTAGTGGATTCGAACTAACCACCTTTTGGTTATTAGCTAAGGCCTTTAACAGTGGCAGTGGGGTCAGGTATATTGGAGATGGTGGGATTGGCTCAGATGGGGCAAGGTTCAGAGCTGATCTTCATAGGGTTGCTGTTGTAGTTGACTCAATGACACATAACAACATTGAAAAATGAGATAATATAAAAAACTAGACACAAGAGAGAAAAAAGCTATTTTCAACTGCACAAAGACTCTTAAAGATTTCTATTTCTCTTCTTAATGTAACATTTTCCAAGTTTATTTTAAACTTATACTTGTGATGGATGGTGATGTCAAAGAAATATTTCTTGTTTTTATTTATTTAGTAATTTGACATAAACCTTTTATATGCCATATGAAAAATGTCTCACCGTACTTAGTCTCCTAAAAGTCCCAAGATATTAAAAGTACTAATGTTTGTACTGTACATACTGTTACGCTTGAGCAACCATAAAATGTAATAATATCTAGCTTTCCTGAGATAAATAATTTAGGTGACTAACTCAGCTGTTGATGTGCTCACTGGGCTTTTGCTCATTCCTGCTCAACGTCAAGGATTTACTGATTAAAAATGTCATCAATATATAAGAAAGTAGAACAAATAACTTGTGCTTTGACTTCAGAATTTGATTCTTCATAAAGATTCAGTCAGAAGAAACTCATTATTACAGACATTTTTATCGTAATATATTTGGGGATCTAAGATGATTTAATGATTTATGTAGGCACTTGAATTACTCATTGCACAACCAATTTGGCCATATGAGACAGCTGAAGATACATCTTCTTCATGTATATAGCCCGTAATTTATTGGTGGAAGTATGGATTTTTTTATGATGTTACTGTGTTGCTCTTATCATTAATTACCATAGGAAGACTCCGGATGAGATGGATTGACTCAGTATTGAAGGTAGGTGTGTTGGAGACAGTGAAATTGGCTCAGAATAGGGCAGAGTTCAGAGGTCTGCCACAAACGCTTCAGGTCCTCCTCAGTTTCAACAAGGAAGGCTGTGTCATCAGCAGGTTGTTGAGTCTTCCTCCATTTACAATAACTGTGCCTTGAATAGTTCTCATTGGCTACAGTATTGCCACTGTGCAAAGCTGATAAGTCTTCCTCCAATCTGATGCCACACTCCTCATAAAGTCTAGCCTTCCGAATAGTCTGTTCCACAGACAGATTGAAAAGATATGGAAACAGGATGTATCTCTGATGAACTGCTTTCCTGATTTTGAACCATACAGTATTTCTTTGCTCTGTTCTGAAGACTGCCTCTTTGTCCAAGTATAGGTTTTACACTCACAGTTGGATGGTTTTAATCTATCACCTTTTCAATCAACCGTACTTGTTATACAGCTTCTGCATCATATTAAGTGATTGAAAAGACTGAGTCCTGAGTCAGGTGCCCCTTAACAGCAGCGTGAAGTCTTTGATTTTCAATGCGTCCAACAGGTCCTCTACAGCAGATTTGCTCAATACCATTTGGTACCTTATTTTTTTTAATGTTGCCTCCAAAGCAGAGCTCTGATGACATGGCCCAAAGAGAGTTATGGCTGCTGACAATAAGCCTCAAAGCTCTGGTGGTTTGCTGAGCAGTATCCTCCTTTAAGATTTAAGCCTTGGAAACTTGCTGGAGGGTCAGTATGAGTAGAAATTGACCCAGTGGCAGTGAAAGAGCCTCCATGGGCATTGATTAGGAATCAAATAAAATAAATTCTTGACACTATCAATCTTTTCTCTTTTTACCCTAATAGTGCTTATTGGTTCCATTGTAAAAAAATTTTGTTCTTTATGATAAAAGTATTATCCATACTGAAAACTATAATCTTTCACCATTATGTGCTCCAATTCCTCTTCGGTTTTAGCAGGAATGGTTTTGTCATCTGCATATCGCAGATTGTCAGTGAATCTTCCAATTGTGATACCTCACCCTTCTTTGTATAGCCAACATTCTCAAATCATGTACTCAGCATAAAGATTGAGTAAGTGTACTGAAAGGATATAATCCTGTTACACACCTTTCCTGATTTTAAACCATATAATTTTTGTTCTGTTTGAATGACTGTTTTTTAGTTTATGTACAGGCTCCACATAAACACAGTTAAGTGTTCTGATATTCCTATTTTTAATTGTTGTTGTGCCATCCATGCTTTGTTCTGAGTCACCTACTCAAATATTTTTGCATACTCTGGTATTCTCGTTTTCCTGCCAAGTTACATCCGACATCAACATTGATATCTCTTGTTCCCTGACCTCTCCTAGATTTCTGGCAGTTCTCTGTTAGACTATCGCAACCAATTTTTAAATTTTTCTGTGAAAGTGTGATGTTGATGATAATGCCTGTTGTGTTGGATTATCTTCAGTTACATGCGTACAGACATGAAACTCTCCCTGTCAGTTGGCCTAAGTCTTCTCTATTTCTTGGACTAGATGAGTGAGTACTTCCAACATTGCATCCATTTTCTAAAACATCTCAATTGATATTCTATCAGGTCCGGGAGTGTGTGTTTTACTAGGGAGCTCTGGTGGTCTAGTGGTTTGTAGCTACCACTGCAATCCCAAAGTCATGTGGTTTCAAAACCACCAATTTCTCTGTGGGAGAAGGATGAGCAGTCTCCTCCTGTGCTATTTCCTGCCTCTGAAAACCCACTAGAGGGTCAAGTATGAGTTGACTCTGACTCAGTGCCAAACAACAATAATGCTGTCAGTGCAGGTTGAGCTTGTTCTTAATCATAGTCTACCTCATAAAATATTTGAATGTCAACCAGTTCTTCTCCATAGACTCCTTCTTCAATACATGAAACACAATCCACGTCTTATTTAAAATCAACTATAAATTACTTTGAAAACAGTTTTCCTTACTACTCATGCTTCCTATCTAGAAGCATAGAAAGCCTTTCCATTTGGTGGCTCTACTGCATTTTATTAAGGTTGTATGTTTTTTTTTCCTATGGAGACAAATTTCATCTCTTATTACATAAATTTATAGTAAATGTAGCTTGAGATATTTTCAAATTTTATTTTTGCTTTGGTTATTGTTAATAGATAGTTATTAGCTCTCATATGTATTATGGTTTAGGACTTTTTTCCCCCATAAATAAGTGTTAAACTCCTTTTTCTGCCTAAACTTTGTAATAGTCTTATTTTGTGTCTTATTTCTGCTCCAATTTTAATTAAATGATCTACTTCTTTTATAGTAATTTTTATTAATAATGCCTAAATTGCTTTCGATCTGAATTGAAGATCTGAATTAATGTAACATTTCATTCATCATGATACAATACCTGTAGTAACATTTATTGGAAAGAATCTTCTTGTCATGCTACAGAAGAATCCTTGTAGTCTCTTGGTTTGTGAAGTATTAGATTTTGTATTGTTTCTTTTAATTATGTAAGAATACTGTGGATTGGAAGTGCTTTTGCAGTTAAGAATCTCTTCCGCTTGAGATTTATTTGACCCTCTTTTGTGACGTATTCATAGAGGTCTTAATAACTGTCTTTGCATTCACCTGAATTTTCTCTGCTGGAAATATTTTCCTCTTAATAAAATGATAGTACTTATTCATGGCATGCTACATGCTTTCATAATTATTTTTAAGAGACTTCATATCCTCTATTATAATCACTTGCACTAGGTTACCCGCTAGCCACTAATAATAGTTTTAGAGTTCCTAAAGATAGTAAGAGTGGGAGGATAGAACATCTCCTTCCATGTTATTTATTGCCTCTTAAAAAGCACTGGAGGGTCAGCTATGTGTTGGTTCTCACTCCATGGCACACCACAGCAACAAAGATAGTAAAATATACAAACAGCAATATAATATTCTAGAGAAAGGAATATTTTTCTGTAGCAAATTTGAGTACTTATGTGTTTATCTGAAACATTTTTGGGGATTTTTATATCACAAAACTTTTGACTCTAGTAGAAATAAACTGTTTAAATAATATAAGCTTAATAATTTACTTATATCTATTGTTCTGAAAATCTAAATCCAGGGAACACTATGTATCCTAAGAATTCCTTGGAAATATCCTGGGAATGGGAATCTCAAAGCATTTAATCAGGCTCATGCAAAACCTATACCTACACCAAGAGGATGTTATGCGAAGAAAGCAAGGGAACACGACATGGTTTAAAATTAAGAAGGGAGTGTGCCAAGGTTGTGTTCATTCCCCATACCTATTCAACCTCTATGCTGAGCAAAATATTTGAGAAGCTGGACTCTATGGAGAAAAATGTGACATCAAGATCAGAGGAAGACTCATCAATAACCTTTAGTATGCAGATGACACAACCTTGCTTGCTAAAAGTGAGGAGGACTTGAAGCACTTGTTGCAGAAGATTAAAAAATACAGCCTTTAGTGTGGATTTCATCTTAACATCAGGGAAAGAAAAAATCCTTACCAGTAAATCATAAGTAACATCAGGGCAAATGGAGAAAAGACTTAAACTGTCAACAACTTCATCTTACTTGGATCTATAATCAACACCTCTGGTACTAGCAGACAGGAAATCAGGATCATACTACACTGGAAAAGTCTACAGTCAGGGACCTCTCCAAATTGTTGAGGAGTAATGATACCATTTTGAGGACTACGGTGTGTCTGCTTCAGTCATAGTGTTTCTGATCACTTGCTATGCATCTGAGATCTACAATAAATAAGGATGACAGAGGAAGATTGGATGCCTGTGGTGTTGGATAAGAGTGCTGAACTCTGCTGGAAGAACAAATAAGTCTTGGAGAGGGTGCAGCCAGAATGCTCTTTGGAGGCAAAGATAAAAAAGCTTCACCTCACATACCTCAGGCATACTGCTAGGAGGGGTATTGCTTGGAGAGGAACATGATGCTTGGAAAAGCAGAAGGTTTTCAAAGGAGACGAAGACCGTCAGGAAGTGTGAGGATGGCACAGGATAGGTCAGGATTCTTCTCTGTTCGTAGGATCGTTATGGGTTGTACTTGACTCAGTGGCACCTAGGAACAACAATTTTGATTAGTGATCATGGATGATTAGTGGTACTGCCATTCTAAAGGCATGTGGCTCGAATTCACCAGCTGCTGCACAAGAGAAAGATTATGTACCATCGAGTCTAAATCAATTCATAGCAGACTCTAGTGGGTCTTCAGAGGCTATAAATTGCACAGGAAGGGACTGCTCATCTTTCTCCCACAGAGGAGCTCATAGATTTGAACTTCCCATCATTGGGCTGACAGTGCAACTTCTTCCCACTAGGCCACCAAGCTCCCTTTGAAAACGGCATATATGTAGCAATTTTTGTAAACCAAAGTACAGGTGGTTTTTTGTGGTTTGTGTAGGGTTTTTTTAATTAAATACTTTTCCTTAATCATCCAGTGTGAAAAAAAATTTAAATATTCTCTGGTGACTTAGTGGTAAGGAGATGCGCTGAAAACCCAAAGGCACATAGCTCAAATCCCCATGGCTCCACAGGAGAAAAAGGGGCACTTTCCTCCCGTGCAGTTTACTGCCTCTGAAAACCACTGGAGGATCTGTAAGCTGCTTCTGGCTCAAGAACACATAACACCACCACCACCAATATAAGCTAAACCATTTTGTGCCTTGGAAATATGTATGTTTGCTTTGTTTATATTGCTAATAATTTGAAAATGACTCTTAGGTAACGAAATAGTATATATGATTAATTAGTTCTTTGGATGCCAGTTTTGTGTTTCAAAGCTTATTCACTTTGATCTAATTAATTAGAAGCTTTACTTTTTGATGTTGTATAGTGTTAGTCACTAGGGGATTGGTTGAGTAGTGAAGGATTTGTGGTCATATTGCTAAATGAAATGTATTAATCCTTCGAGTTAAACTAATAGGCTCAACTAAATTATGAAAAAATGAAATGTGCATAGAAAGGTATGTTTATTGAGGAGAGTTTCTTTTAAGAATAACTTAGATTGGAAAGAAAGTAGAAATCTTAGCGCAGATATTGTATTTTTAAAATTAGCAACAAAAATAACTTTCCTAATTAACTTTTTAAACACTTTTATCCTGTGTGTTTTCTGACTACCTCCTTGGCTTATGAAGTACACCATATCTTTGATGATTCTTCTCTTGTAGATCCTTGGTATTAACATCATCATATCAATTATTGTAGTACACTCTGTTTTTATAATTAAATGGGTTAGAATGAATAATACTCTAGAAAAATTTCAGATAAAATTTGTCAGATTTTTTTCTTATTTGCTGCTTTATTTCCCAAATTACAAAAGCAGGATTGAAGTAAAACTATTTTCACCATTGCTTGGGTTTTTTGTTTGTTTGTTTGTTTGGGGGTTGGATTTTTTTATGGGTTTTTTTTTGGGGGTGGGTTTTTTTGGGGGATGGGTTTTTTTTGTGACACTGCTTTTTAAAAAGGTAAAAATGTGTTTGGTGGAGCTCCCCTATTAAAACAAGCTTGGAAGCAGGAGTGGCATCCACTTCCGAAACAGCTTGCCTCCGGAAACCCTACTAACTTGGAGAAATGATGACAGTTATACAAGTGTTCAGGTCTTTTGTTCATAGGGTCGCTATGAGTCATCTACAACTCAACGGCACTTAACAACAACAATAACAACAGGCTCAGCATCAAGAAAACAGCGATTCTCACCACTGGACGTGTTTGTACCACCATGATAGATGGAGAAGAGATTGAGATAGCTAACAATTTCAGCTTGCTTAGTTCCACCATCAACATTCTTGGCATCAGAAGCCATGGAATCAAAAGACAAATTACCTTAGGAAAATCTGCTCATAGGGTCCTTGCCAGAGTGCTGAAGTGCAACAGTTTCAGTCTAGAGACTAAGATGCATGTGATCCAGGCCATAATCTTCACAGTTACTTGCTTTGCATCAGATAGCTGGACCGTGACCAAAGATGACAGAAGAAGAATTGATGCTTTTGAATTGTGGTTCTGGAGAAGAGTACTGAATATCCCATGGACTGCCAAGAGATCACACAGCTCTTTCCAGGAGAATTTGAAACCAATGTGCTCCTTTAAGGCAAAGATTTTGATGCTCTGTCTCACATACTTTGGAGATGTTGCCAAGAATCACCATTTCTTGGAGAAGGACATGACGCTTGGAAGGGTGGAGGGACATCGTAAGAGAGGAAGACCCTGGATGAGATGGACTGGAATAGTAACTGGGGTAATAAGAGTAGATGTGTCAGAGGCAGTGAGATTGACTCAGGATAGGGCAGGGCCCAGAGCTGTTTAAGTAAGGTTAGTGTGTGTCAGAGTCAACTCAGTGGCACATAACAAAAAGTCTAGCACAGCCCAACACTTGGGTATTTCCTGGACATGGAAATTTGATAATGAACTCTCCATACTCTTTAAATGAGACTTATGAGAGAAAACTTATGAAGTAAGGTAGTGATTGACAAATATTAGGCTTTCATAAATATATCACAATTGAATAGTGGGTGGACACTGTGAGAAACATTTGCAGCATAATATAAGGGGGAAGTATTATAGATGGAAAGAAAAATCTTACTGAGCATATTCATAGAGTCGGGGGGGAGAATGTCACATTTGACCATAAGCAGGCATTACATAATTAAAAAGAAAGTGCGGTCAGTAGATTAAATAAAAAATATGCCCATAATTTTTAAAATGGAAAGGTCAATAGATGTTAGGATTAATCTAATACGCAAAAGAAAAACTATCAATATTTCAGTCAATTAGGTGCAGAATCAGCATGCCACAAAGTTGAAATTTTAGTATACGTTCAGCCTCTGGTATTTATAGTGAGCAGTCATTTCCCACCACAGCAATTCTACCACAAGCCCTGCTGAAAGTCCATAAAACTGAATAAGGAAAAAAGTTCAACAATCGCAATCTTCCCTCAATAGAAATTTGCAAAATATAAATGAAAATTAAAATACTGGAAAGTATTGTACCATAATGTTGTTCTCTGTTATTACTATTTTTTTTGGTCTGTGTTTTTGTGATTGGCACATGTTGCTTTTATAATCTGAACAAATGTTATCAGAATAAGATAATGAAAAGATAGAAAGAAACGTCTTTTTATGAAATTCTTATTTTTTAATCATTCTCTGCTTTAGCACCAAGTTTTTATATTATATAATTATGTTTGGTTTATATTGTTTTCTGATTCAGCAGGAGTCCATTTGCATTAATTTAACATTTAGCAATCTGTCAGCTGCATAATTATACATCTGTGATTATAGGTAGGATAGAAAAATTCCCCATCTCTGAGTTAAAATAGTCTCTTAGCATTTGCTATCTGTAGAAAGCAGACTGGTGTTATGAGTAAGAGAAGGACAGCATGAACTGAGAATTCATTTAGCAATAGTTACATGATTAGTTTGTACACCATCAGTTACTTTGAGTCCAGAGTCCCAAGGCCATTAACGTTTTCTCATGCATTAAGCAAATAGATAAAGCACCCTCCTTTAGGCTTCTATGCAAAATACCTTACTGTTGTTATTAAATGGTAAGTTTCTCATTAGTTTTGTATGACTTAGTAGTTATTGCACTTTGAAACTTAAATATGGTTTTGTAAACTAATTAACATATATATTTATATTTATATTTATCTTTTTTTCCCCCTTCTAGATTTGCCTGCAATGGATAACTCAGTGTTTTTGGAACTACTTAGATTGGATAGAAATATGCCACTATATTGCTACTTGTGTTTTCCTGGGTCCTGATTATCAAGTGTATATATGTATAGCTATCTTCAAACATCTACAACAAGATATTCTGGAGCATACACAGGCTCAAGATCTGCAGGTTTTCCTAAAAGTAAGTTGTTGTTTTGTTTTCTTTAGTACTGTATTACGATACATGTGTAAAAGTGATTGTGAGGGGTTTTTTGTGTGTTTACAAAATTCATCATTTTGTTACAGTATATTTATTACATACATTTATAATTTAAAACTAACATTTGAAAGAGAAATGATAAGTAACTTTGAGTATTTAATCTCAGACAATTTCTAAACAGTAATTCAATCCTGAGGGTACTCTAATGGTCTGGTGAGTAAAGAGTTGCCCTGCCAATGCAGGTGGTTCGAATCCAAAAGCTGCTCCAGGAGAGAAAGATGGGAAGTCTCCTCCCATGTATCTTACAGCCTCTTAAAGCCTGCTGGAGGTTTAGCTCTGAGACATTTCCAACTCACTTGCACACAACACTGCTAATAACAATTCAGTCCAATAAACAACCCTCAGAAGTAAGTATTAGCCCCATTTGGAAGATGAAGAAACAGATGTACATGTCTAAGTGAGTTGCCCAAGGTTTTCTACCCAGCTAGTTGTGGAGCCAGGATATAAAATTGTCTGGATAAAAGACTTTCAATGAGTATAATGTATATAAAAATAAGACATGTTGTGGGGGAGGGGGAACATAAATAGTTTTTATTTTTTTTTCTGTGTTTTCATTTAGGCAGTGAAGTTCAAGCTACTGTGTTGGTACGGATCTTCAATTCTTTTAAAAACATTTTATAGAATTTTCTATTACTTCATGTTCTGTATATTTTTTTAATAAATGGGATAATTTAGAATTATTTTGAGTAAGTTTTTAGGGAAAATTATTTTATAATAACAAACTTAATGACCCACTAGTGTGGTGATCTGGCGCCCTAGTTTCCTTCCTCTCTGTAGTGGAACTTGAAGCTCTAGGTCTTAGACATAAGATGTGTCAGCACTGTCATCGGAGTAGTTTGTGCTGGAAATACTGCTACACCTCTGTTTTAAGCTTTTCTCCTAAATGGAAAGTGTTGCTTTACCTCCTATACTGCTATAATTCCCCAAGCACATTTATATACCTTCTATATGACAAAAATTTTTCTATATAGATCAGTTTTGTCTTCATTCTTTACCATGGTATACTTGTCAAAGTTATTTTCAACTTAATGATGTTTTCTTTAGATAAATATAATTCATCATTTAATATTACCTAAATATCTAGCCAGTGGCTTCAGAAAAAAGACAGACAATTCTCCATTGCTACTTATGCGGAAAAAACAAACCAAAACCTCAAACTCATTGCTGTCGAATGAGAAATGACTCAAAGCTGAACCTCCAGTGGATTTTCAGAGACTGTAAATCACGTGAGAGTAATAAATCACGTGAGAGGAATTTGTCCATCTTTCCCACATAATTGCTGGTGGATTCAAACTACCAGAGGCACTGTCTTTGTGTTAGCTGCATAACTCTGAAAACCTGCTGGAAGGTCAGGTGTTATTTGCTTGCAGTTTAGTGGCAGTGAGTTGAGCTTAATTATTTAGCAATTTTATTTAATGAAGATTCTCGCCACTGGACCAATTGGCAGCATCAGGATGGATGGTGAAGAGATTGAGTTGGTCACAGCTATAGTTTGCTTGGCTCCACAGTCAACACTCTTGGCAACAACATACAGGAAATTAAAAGATGTATTGCGATGGGAAAGTCTGCTGTTAGGGACCTCTCCAAAGTACTGAAGAGCAATGGTGTCTCTCCGGAGGCTAAGGTGCGTCTGATACAGGCCATGGTCTTCACAATCACTTGTTATACATCAGAGAGTTGGACAATGACTAGGGAGGATAGAAGGAAAATTGAAGCCTTTGCGCTGTCGTGCTAGAGAAAAGTATTGTGTGTACGATGGACTGCTAAGGAAACAAACAGCTGCATACTGGGGAGGGTTAAACCAGCTTCTTCTTGGAGACAAGGATTCTGAGGCTTTGTCTGACATCCTTTGGACATGTTGTAATGAGGGACCTGTCCTTGGAGAGGGACATGATGCTTGGGCGGGTGGAGGAACGGTGCAGGAAGGGAAAGGTCCTCTATGAGGTGGATTGATTCAGTGACTTGGGTAATTGGGATGGGAGTGTCAGAGACAGTGAAATTGGCACAGCACAGAGCAGAGTTTAGGACTGTTGTACATAGGTCGCTATGAGTCGCGAATGACTCGATGGCACATAACAATATCAACAAAGTTTTAAAATCCTCAAACTCACTGCACCAAGTTGGTTCCAGCTCATAGAGACTGTCCTTCAGGTTCTGAGACTATAAATCACAAAGGGAAGAACTGGCAGTTCTTTCTCCCATGGAGCCTCTGGTCGGTTTAAATGTCACAGATATGCAGCCTTCAGGTTTGCAGCACACTTGCTGTGAACTTTACCACTGTGGCAGTGAGAAGATTAATAAATTCTGGGTTTAGAATATCTTTAACTTCTACATTCATTACCAGAATTTAAACTTAGAACTATTAGTAACCACAAATATGTCAAGATAATGGTTTCACATGTGGAAAGTAAACAAAGGTAGGAAAAGCGAGGAATGTTGTAGAAGTGATTGGGAGAATAGGGATATTAAGAAAATGAGAATTTTTCCCAGTCTTGAATATCTGAATTTTCCTAACCCATAACCCATTAAGTCTCTGTCCTCTTATCCCACGTTACTCTCTTTGTAGTGTATGACACAGACTGAAATTATTTCACATAGGTTTTAGTCTATCTTCCCAAGTAGCCTATCTAAGCTCTTTAAGGATTGTGGCTGCCGTATTTACAGATTTGTTTTCAGTGTCTCATACAGCACTTGACACATTTTAAGTGCTCAGTAAATTAGGGAAATAACAGGACTCTTCTGTTTATTCCCATTGAATATCAAACACTATTAAATTTTTCTAATCTTAGATACTTAGCCTCCTTCCTACTAGAAGACTATCTTTATAGTTCATCAACCTTAAATCTGATTAATGTGATTATTGCCATTTCATTCCTGCAGGGAAAAGTTGTAATAGGGTTTGCAATGGTGACCTCTTTAAAGGCGCCCTAAATTTGACTGTGCTCTTGGCATGGTACTGTCAATTTAAAACTTAAAAAGAATTTTAAATGGGACCAAAAAGGATGATCATTATTACCTAAATTGAATATAAATCACTAAAATTTTAATTTTAATATCCATCCACATAAATGGATGAAAATTGCACTGGAGCGCAAAGAAGCCAAAGCACAGGGAAGAATTCAAGATACTAAAGAGTTGAATAGAAGATTTCAAAAGGCAGCACGGGA